GGGAACTGGTGAATCAGGTCAGGTGATGGACCAAAAGTCCCACGAACTGGAGGTCAGATGTCATGAGTCAGGTGCAAAATCCTGAGTAAGAGACTCAGGTGTTCCAAAGCAGTCTTAGAAACTGGAGTCAGACCATGCCCCTAAAGGGAAACTAAGGGTGGTGATTTGACTCACACCCTCCACTAAGGTGGGGGCATTCTTAATACTTAGATCCACTGTAACTTACACTCCTTTGTTGTTGTTTGGTGCCATTGAGTCGGTACCGACTCACAGCGACCTTACGCACAGCAGAACGAAACACTGCCCGATCCTGGGCCAACCTAACTATCGTTGCCACACTTGAGTCCATTGATGCTGCCACTTTGCCTTAGCCACACCTTAATTTTGACTTGTTAGCAGCTCATTTCAAAATGGGTCCACAGTCACAGGAAAAGAGGCAAGGATTTACAGTATAACACTGAACAGAGAAATTCGGCTGAGAGGACCATAAATAATCATCTGCCCTGCAGCGACCCTATAGGACAGAGGAGAACTACACCAGAGGATTTCTGAGGCTGTAAATCTTTACAGAAGCAGACTGCCTCATCTTCTACTGCAGAGCAGCTGTTGAGTTTGAACTGTTGACTTTTTGGCTAATGACCCAATGCTTAATCCACTTTGCTAGCAGGGTTCCTATGGTGACCCCACATGTGTCTAAGTAGAACTGTGCTCCTTCTGGTTTTTGGTGACTGATTTTCTTGTAAGTAGATCGATGTGTCTCTGGGCTAAACTCAATCTTTCAATTTTCTGGTTAGCAGTCAAGTGTATTAACCATTTATACCACCTGGGACTCATAAAATGGACAAAAACATTGGCAAAAATATGGATAAGCTCAATCACACTTGTAAATAATGATGAAATGCCACACCAAAAACATTTTTTTAAAGCAATCATTTTAAATAATGACATTTATATATAAGAAGCTCTGGTAGCGTGGTGGTTATGAATAGGGCTGTGAACCACAAGGTCAGCAGTTTGAAACTGCCAGCTGTTCCACAGGAGAAAGATGAGGCATTCTGCTCCTGTAAAGATTTAGAGCCTCAGAAACCCTGTACAGGGTCGCTATGGGTCGGAACCGACTCCAAGGCACATAACAACAACAACAACAATATATATATATATATTGTTGTTGTTGTTGTTGTTGTTTTGTTTTGTTTTCTAAACTCTATGTGAATTGAGTGAAAGTTTACAGAACAGCACATCAAACTTACATTCAACAAATCATATACTTCCTGTCAATAATAACACTTTTGATAACATATTAATTTACCGCTCTATTATTCCTATTGCTACCAAATGTTTTCAAAGCTTTTTTGATTTTGTTTTCTCCGCTATATTTTTCTTGATTTAGTTTTGGAAGTCGCAGGCTCCAAAACTGAAAGTGTGATCTCTGAGATGACTCCATGCACAACAAAGGTAAGATTCTTCTACTTTCTTTTTTAGAGGAATAGGCTAAAACTTTGGGAATTGTGGGGTGGGGGAGGAATGCAAATAAAAGTTTTAAAACTCACACAGTGACCTTTAGAACAAAACCAGTCTATGTTAGGGTTGGCATGTTGTTACAATTTGAGTGCACAATTAAAATATTTCAATTCCATTCCTTTTGAAAGAAATAAAAGCAAAGAATCATTCTTGCTGTACACAAAAGAACTCAGACCTGCAAAGAGGACCTTCAAAATACAGAATGAGAGTGTAGTGAGTGTCTTCTAAGCTCCTTCCTGTTTATCCTAGGCTGTCTGACACTACTTCTCATTCCCACACACTACTCTTTAATATCCACAGAAGCGTTAGCAGTGTGGCTCAAGATGCCAGCGTGTGGTCCTGAAGAGAATGAAAGTGTAAGCTTCCAGTGGCAGCCTGAGCCTGAGAACCATCCTGCAGCAAGTGTCCTACTTTCTACATTTGATGTGCTTCCAGCAGAGGGCCTGTCCATTCTCCCTGAGTGGCTCAGGGTGTGAGAAAGAGTCCCCTTGGGCTGGTGAAACCGACAGGCAAAAGCTTGAGAGGCTTCGTTGCGTAATTTGTTATTTGTTTATGACTTAGATGAATAAAGGAACACCCAGTGCCGAAAGCCTGCCTGCACGTCTAGTGCAGTCAGCAGAATCTTTTTCATGATTAAGAAACAGAACGCCACTTGAATGAAAACAAATGATTTGCTAACAGGACTGTTTCAGTCCCTTCCCTAACAACACAAACCAACTATAGAAATCAATTATTATCTGAGGGTCAAGAGTAGTATACCAAGTCAACGACAAAATCAAAATTCTAAAGACCAACCATGCACTGAAAACACAAGTTGAATTTGACTCATAGCTACCCTATATGACACAGTAGAACTGATCCACGACTCATTGGGTTCCCAAGGCTGTAATCTTTATGAAAGCAGATGGTCACATCTTCCTCCTGCAGATCGGCTGATGGGTTCCAACAGCAAACCCTTTAGTTAGCAGCTGAGCACTTAACTTCTGTGCCGCCAGAAACTTGCTAAAAAGGGAGCTCATCACACAAAATCTCATTTGGAGTTATCAAAGTTAATACACATCTGGGTCTCATATGTTATGTCAGCAAGCCCCTAGGTGGTACAGGAAGTTTGCTCTCAGCCACTAACCAAAAGGTAGACTATTTGAAGCCACCCAATCATACCTAGGGATCTGTTTCAGTAAAGATTACAGCCAAGGGAAATATATGGAACACAATTTTACTCTGTAACACATGGGGTAGTTATGAGTTGAAATCTACTTGTACTTAACAACAACATAAATACTAAGGGTTAGTAAGGAAAAACCAGTATTGGATTTTTTCTCCCTGAGTTTTTGTTTGTTGGCTTATTAAATCAGTGCTGCAGGGGGTCGGAAGACTTAGAGGGGGTCACACCCTGGAGTCTGAGTTCCTGTCTTGCCATGCATAATGAAGCACACTTGGAATTGGTCAGAGATGGTTCCATTGACACCAGAGAAAATCCCATCAGCAAGAGGAATGGATTGTGCATGCATAAACATGTACTCTTCCATAAGAAGCTCAAAATGTGAATGAGTAACATTCTAAAACAAGATAAATGTCCAGAGTTATAGCAAATAAGTGCACATGTCATTTATGTTAGTAGATCAATTGTGCCGTCTAAAGATAAACTTCTCATTCCCTTAGCTCAATAAGTAAAAAAGGTAAATGAGTAATAAGAATAAACCAAGTGACAATCAAACCATTTCAAGATTATTAGTTCATCCTCTAACCTTAATTCTGCACTTGAGATTGCTAAAGTCCTTAAATTATTCTACTAAATTTAAGCTTGCAATTTAATTTCAAGTTGGCAGTTTCACGTTTCATGTTTTACTGTTTGAAATAAGAGAGCAAAGCAGAAAAGCTTTGTAAACTTTGATTATGTTTGTAGTTAGTATGAGGGGGGCATCAAAAATTAATGGAAACATGGAAATTAAAGATAATGGAATTTTTGCATGAACTTTTTGAAGTCTCCTTATATGGAGATTACAGTTATTAAAAGATTAATATATAAATTATGTTTATGACTTGTAATAAAGATGATATAAACAAAAATGTTTTTTAGAGAAAGTATCTCACATTCTTTGGGTACTGAAATCAAAGCCATTTGAAAAATATCACCTACAGCAGGTATTAAAAAGCGGGTGAATGATTCAGACGTCTAGAGGGGAACAGGTGAATCGTGATCCTGTATGGACTGAAGAGAAACAAAAGGTGAACACAGAGACACTCACATGAAGATTCTCTGGAGTAGCAGCAGTAGTCAAGAGTATAGGAGACCTCTGCTATATCTACTCAGATGTGTCACCTTGGCCAAGTCACTGTCAGCTGCCCTTCCTCTTTTCTTCATCGAGTTCATCATCTGTCACACACACACATTCACTCACTCACTCACTCACTCACTCATGCACAGAAATGTACAAAATAGAAGTGTATTACCGTTCTGGCATAAAGTAAAAGTACCACAAAGTTGTTGGCTTTAAACAACAGAAATGTACTGTCTTAGTTCTAGGGGTTAGGAGTGCAAATTTGGGATGTTGGTAGGGTCTACTTTTCTAGGGAAATATACATCCTTGTTTGTCTCAGCTTCTAGTAACCCCAGGCATTCTTTAGCTATTTAGATGCATCTTCCCTCTGCCTCCTTGTCCTCTGCCTCTGTGTTCCTTCTCTGTTTTATAGGACACCATTTAGATAGGATTAAAACCCACCCTACTGGTGGCATCCATTATGGTTAAAGATTGGATTTCTAACTGCATGATCAGAGATTCAAACCAAGGTCCAAGGGAGAAAGATGAGGCAGACTGATGCCACAAAGACATCCTAGCTTAGAAACCCTAAGGAGCAGTTTACTGTAGGACCACTATGAGTCGGAATAGATTCGCTAACAGTAGATTTACTCATATATCTTCCAAGATCCTATATCTAAGCAAGGTCACAGTTTAAAAACACCTGGAATTAGGATTTCAACATAAATTTTAGAGGTTGCACAATTCAATCCATGTTAGAAATGAGGAAGCCACAGTCATCTGGGTCTCTTAATACCGTGACATTACCATGAGACTAGTTTGGAGACATTCACACAGAGACTAATCTACTGAACTGGGAGAAATTTGATTTTTAGTGATGACTTTTCCCATTATTTCTACCATTGCCTTCCATATAGTCATTGAACAACATGCTTTATGTTTTAATTCTATAAAGAAGGGAATCATTTTTTTACTGTCGTGGTTTCATAACATCTGAGAGGGCTTGGGAGGAAAATTAATTGTAGAAAATTAAACTTCCTTTCTGAGCTTGTCATAAATAAGGTGCTATAACAATTTAAGTTCTCATTATTAAATATTTCTTACTCCTAAAAAAGGGGAGTGTGGTAGCTCTATACGATAAGCACTGGACTGCAAACCACAAGATTGGCAGTTTGAGCCCACCAGCCGCTCCATGGAAGAAAGATGAAGCTTTCTGTACACATAAAGAAAAGACATAAAGTTTTGGAAATCCAATAAAGGCTCATTATGAGTCGGAATTTGTTCAACAGCACTTAACAGTCACTTAGCAGTACTTGACAGCAATAACAACTAAAACTATATCTGACCCTGTGAATCCTGGTTGGATAACCCCAAGTTTAATTCCTGGGAACTAGAGAAGAGGGAATAGTTGTCTCTGTAGTTTGCTGTTAAGGAGCAAGATAATAGCTCTCCAGGGCTTTCATAGCCCAGATCAACACTCCTGTGAACATTTCTGATTATTATGTCCTAAAAGTGTCATAGTGATCTGTTGTTGAGTGGTATTGAATTAGTTTCAAGTCATGTTGTCGTTATGTGCCATGGAGTCAGTTCCGACTCATAGCGACCCTGTACAGGGTTTCTGAGGCTGGAAATCTTTACGGGAGCAGAAAGCCTCATCTTTGTCTTGCGGAACAGCTGGTAGTTTCAAACTGCTGACTGTGAGATTAGCAGCCTGATTCAAAAAACTGTGCTACCAGAGCCTGTATAGGATGTCTGAGGAGCAGCTGGTTGGTTTGAACCACTGACCTTGTGCTTAGCAGTCTAGTGTTTATCCTACAGCACCACACTAGAACTCCTAACTAAAACAGAAATACCGCAAGTGGGTGACCTTAACAAACAAATTTGTTTTCTCCATTTCAGAGGCTAGAAGTCTCCACTCAGAATACTGGCATGAGGAGAAGTCTTTCTTTCTGTCAGCTCTATAAGAAAGTCCTTAGTATTTGAGCTACTGCTTGCTGATTTATTCCTTGGAGATGTCCATGTGTCTTTCAATCTACCTTAACCCATCTAGCTCTCTAATTAATCTCTTTTCATATGTCAAATGAGATTGCTCAAGCAGCTGAGGACTCTGGACTGATGGAAAGAGTGGGACTGGGTGCTGGCGGCCAGGAGGCGGGCTAGCAGAATGTGCCCTTTGGTTATTTAAATTATTATATATTCCTGAGTGTTTCTGTGTACACACACACACACACCCAAAAAAAAAAAAAAAAGCAAAACAGAGACTGGAAGCAAATACTGTTGAATGATGATGCACAGAGGAGATTGCAATGAAATGAGAGTGTAAAGTCGATGTTCTCCCACTAATAATAAGAGTGATAGTGAGTAAATTAAACTCAGTTCACAATAAAAACTTTAAAAAATTAAATAAAATGAAAAAAAGAGATTGTTCAAGACACACCCTACAGTAGTACTGGATCATTAACATAACAAAGGACTCCTTACCAGATGGGATCATATAGCCACAGGCATAGAGGTCAGGATTTACAGCACATATATTTGGAATTGTTGTTGCTGTGTGCTGTCGAGTTGGTCTGACCCATAATGACCCTGATAGTGTTTCCAAGGAGCCACGGTTGAGCTTGAACCACCAATCTTGCAGTTCAAACAGCTCTGCAGTCTGGTGCATTAACCCACAGCACCACACCAGGACTCCATATATTTGGAAAGAAGATCATAATTCAATCCTGGTGTGGTACTGAAGGATAAGCACTAGACTCCTAACCACACTAGACACTCCTCAGAAACCCTATGCACATTCACTATGACTCAGTACTAATTCAATGACACTCACCAACAATAACAGCAACATATACTAAGACATTTTTGAACATGTCCATTCAATCCACATGGACACCTGGTGTGGCACTATAGGATAA